AGCATTATTTATATTTAATTGAACTAAATCATAAATTAATTGTTCATAAAGAATTTCATCAAAATGAATAAGACGTTTTGAACCCATTTTTTCTAATAAATCTTTATCATTTGTTGTAAATTGTTTATTATCTTGATCATAAACATAAATAAAAAAAACATTTGTTAATGATGCTATTTTACGAAGAAAATCTTCTTCAGCAAAAACTGATGTTGTTAAGAAAATAACATTTTTATCCTTAATTGAATCATGAATAAAATCATAACATAATGTTGGTTTATCAAATTGTCGAATTGGTGAAAGAATTTTTCGAAATTTTTCTTTTAATTTTTCATTTCCACCTGGTATTGATCCAATACGCTTATCTAACCATACAAATATCAATGACATTGACGACATATCAATTCAATTCAATTCAATTCAATTCAATTCAATTCAACCAACAACTTTATGTATATTTACCTTTTTTTTTTTATTTTTTCTTCCTTCTATTAAAAATATATTTTTTCTTTTGCCTATATTAACATTCAAGAAAAAATAATAGAAAAAACAAAAAAAAAACCGAAAGAAAAGAAAAAGATTATGTTGTCTTTCCATTAAATAATTGTTGTAATCTTTCATTTAAAAGTTTTTCTTTGTTTAATAAAGATGATGTATAATTTTTATAAGCAATAAATTCCTAAATATGTTTTTTTGTTAAATAAATATAGAAAAATAACAAAATTATAAATAAACCTGTTGAAGTTTTTCGATTTTTTCTTCACTTTCAATATATTTCAATTGAGCTTTTTCAACACGAAGATCACAATTAACACGTTCTTCTTCATTTCTAAAGTAAAATTCGATTGTTAAATAATAAAAAAAAGAAAAAATAAATTAGTTATTAGTTTTTACATAAATCTTTGATTAGCTTCATTCAACAAATGTTCCGTTTTAGTTAATTTTTGACGAAGTTTTTCTTCATTAGTCATATATTCCTAATTTAAAAAAATAAAAAAAAAACCGAGGAAGTATTAAAACAATACATGGAGACGTTTTTCAAGTTGTTTTGTTTGTTGTTCTAATGATTGTTTATTTATTTGTAATTGATCAAGTTGATTTAAATGGCCTTGTTCGATTTGTTGAATAGTTTTTTCTTTTTCTTCTATTATTTGTTCGAGATCTTAAAAAAGAAAAAAAAAACTGTTGAAATAATTGGAAAATTTGAAAAAAAAAGTCAAATAAAACTTCGTAGTTGTGTTCGTATTTGATTGATTTCAATTCGTTGATTGTCAATTATCTGATCTCTTTGTTGAAATTGTTTGTTTGAATCATGTTTTAAATGATGAAAATTTTCATATGATTCTCTAAGAAATGAAAAAAAAAATAAATTGAAAAAAAAAAAACAAAAAAACGAAATTCGTATAAGAAGATACTCTAATAATTTTTCTAATGTTTGAATTTTTTTATATTGAGATGATAATTCTTGTTGGAGATTTTCATATTTATTATTTTCAAATAAAAATCTTTTATTTAATTCTTGTTCTTTTAATTCCCATTGAATATTTAATGTTTTTAATTGTTCAATTGTTTTTCTTAATTCTTCGATTTTATCTTTCAATCTTTCTTCTTCTTCTAATTTATCACGTAATTCTTCAATTTGTCTTTCTAATTCAATTGAATGTTTATCCAAAGCCATATTTGCTAAAATATATTCATCATTTCGTTTCTTTAACATCATTATAAGACGAGCTTGATCATCTATTCTACATTTCATTTTTCCCATTTCGCTTTTTTCATCAGAAGATATTCCTCTAAGACGAGATATAATTTCATCTGATTGATCAGCCATTGGAATTGTTATATTCGACAACAACAGCCTCCTTCTAGTTTTCAATCAGTTAAGTGAAGAAAAAAAAAATAGAGAGAAAAAGAGAAAGACAAAGTAAACATTATTTATATGAGAAGTAATATTTGTCTAAAATAAAAAACAAGAAAAAGAAAAAAAAAATTATTTTTTATGAAAATGAAAATGTAAAAGAGGTTTAAGTCCAGATGGAAAATCATCAATAATAAATTGAATATGTTGTGGAAGAGGAAGTGAAGAACGTTGTCTCCATGGAATAGTTCGTCTTATTAAAATAGTTGCTTGATCACGTAATGAAGCAGGTGAACATTTTGGCCATTGATCATCTTTAGTTGTTCCATACATATTATCATTTCCTCTTTCAGGATAAACAGAATAAATATTAAAAAAAAGAGAATTCATCTGAAAAAATTTTTTATTTCAAAAAAAAGAAAGAAAAAAAAGACAATAAGAAAGAAAAAAAAAGAAATTATTTGTTAGCAAGAGCTTGAAGAGCATCTGATAACATATTTCGTTTATATTCTCCTGGATTAGCTTTTTTTGCATGTGATCGTGATTTACTTCTTTTTTTAAGCCATTTATCAATTGTATGATGAATATCAGATTTATAACGTTCAGCTAAATTTAAAAATTCTTGTTTTGATAATGTTGAATATTCTTCAAGACGATCTTTATAATAATTTTCAATTTGTTGATCAGCATGATCACCTTCTAAAAATTCATTTTTACAATGACGTAATTTTGTTGCTAATAAAGCACAAGCTTTAAGATAATCTCCAATTGATTCATCTGTTTCAGCTTCACGTTTAATTCTTGAATGAAATTTGGAAAATGCTTTAGCACATGATAATTGTTGTAATGCTTCAATATCATCTTCACTAAATGGTCGAGGTTTTTTACGAAATCCACGTCGTCGTTTTGATTGAAATTGTTTTGTTGAAAATGGATCAAATGTAGATTGATTTGAATCTTTATCATCTTTTGTTTGACTTTCATCATCATCAAAATTAATTGATTCATCTATATCAGCTAATAATTGATTTTCAATTGATAATGATGATGCAGCAACTGTTTCAGATTTACGTGATCCACGTGTTGGAGCCATTTTGACAAATAGAATTTCTACAATTTTATTTTTCTTTTGTATCAGTTTGTCTTAAACAACGGTCAAAAGTTCATCCAATGAATGTTCTATTTGAAATAATATCTGCTCACCATTTTATAGTTCAATCGTTCGTTGATTGATTTACTTTCGATGAATTTTTTTTTCTTTGTTTAATTATTTTCAAATAGAAGAATTTTTTTTTAAAACATTATTTTATAAAATTTTCATTTTTTTTTATTTTGATAAAAATTGTTTATTAACGACATCTACCAATAATTGGAGGTATATTTTCAATTTAAAGATAAATCAATAAATCGAATCGAATCGAATCGAATATCTATCGTATTCTATCTATTTATGATATTAATTCTATTGAAAATAGTCATGGAATTTTTTATTGAATAAAGTTAATCGAATAGAATAATCTTATGTTAAATATAATAAATATAAGTTAATATTATAAATTTATCTTATTAGAATACTATAAAAAAAGAGGAAAATGTTTAGAAATAATTAAAATAATAAATAAAATATTGATTATATTAATAAATCTATTGTTATTTTGAATAACTCTATAGAAATTTGGTTTTGTTGTTTTCAAAGAATAAATCAAGTTTGATTTATCTAAGAAATATTTCTATTGAAAAATATTTATTGAAAGATTTTTTCTTATATAAAATGAGAAATGTTTTGTTTTTTTTTTTTGTTAAATATAATAATAAATTGTTCTAGAAATCGATTTATTTAATAGATTAAATTAAAGTAAAAGGAGATTTATTTGAAAAATTTTCAAATATATAATAGATAATAAACATGTTTGACGATGATCGATAATATAATAACTAACAATTTATTATATTATTTAATTTTGATGATTTTTTCTATAATTTTTCAAAAAAAATCGTTTATAAATGAGTTGTTCTTAATTTATATGAATATATATTCAAGATTTATTTATATAAGATAATATAAATAATTGTTTTGTCATAATTCGATAAAATATTTGCAATAAACGAGGAACAATAATCATGTTTACAAAAGTAAAACAATTATTATATATAATAAAGTTTTTTTTTTATTATTTTATATAGATTTTCAAATAATAAAAACTTCTATTTATCTTCAATAATAATTTTTTTAAAAATCTTTTTATCTTAACGATTATTTTGTTAAATAGTCACTTTTCTATCATAGATTTATCCAATATTAATTTAAAAAATATTTTCAACAAATTCATATGTGAAAAATAATCAATCTCTTGTTTATAATCATAGAAAAATTCTTTTATTTGTTTGATATTCTCCGAAATTTCTTAAAAAAAATCATTTAAGTTAATTGTTGAAAAATCTGATAAGGTGAAGATTTATTTATTTCTAATAATTATATTTAATTGATAAATTGTCTGTTTATTCAATATAAATTATCTTTATTAGAATTAATAGATAATAGATAATAGATAACAAGAGGCAAAGGTTATAGAAGAATTTAAATAAAATATAGTTAAATTGAATTAAATATAAGAGTTTATCTCTCAATATTGACTATTCTATTGAATAAAGATGTTTTGGTCATATTATCGTTTTATCTACGATAAATCCGAGCTATATAACAGTAGATAAC